ACGCCCCACAGCATACCCTAACCGTGTATTGGGTATATCTTCCATTGATAACTTTGGGAGATGTCCCCAAGGTTCAAAGTATCGATATTACCGGTGTATCGGCCAGTATCAACCTTTTTTTTAGTTTGACTTTTTTTACGGTTTTGGTTTGGGGCCGGTTTAAGTCCCAATTACCCTTTGAACTAGGTGCAAACCCGATACAACCCCTGTAGGGGCGTATCGGGAAGGACCCGATACGATACGTATCAGCCAATATGAGTCGATACGTAACAATTTTTTGAATCTTGGATGTCCCCAATGCACGCTGAGATGTGCATGTGTGTAGGGTTGCAAGTCGGGCCGGGTTAGGTCGGGTTGAGGCCAATCCTAACCCTAAGCCAACCCAACCTTCTTCCCATCCTTTAAAACCTTATAGAATTTCTCAATTTTAGATCTTAACTCAACTTTCACTACATATATTAATCCTATGTTTCATTAGTATTTGTTTGTTGACATTATTTTTTTGTTCTTTTAGTACAAAATTCAGAAAAAAACAAGTGTTAGAAATGACTATAGTTTATTACGAGTTATGACTTATGATAGATCTTTCTTGGGTGGCAAACAACATAGAGAAGATGAAGAATAAAATTTTCAAAAAACATAAAATAATGTTATCAAGGTTTTAGTCTTTTTGGTTAGGATTAAGTGAAGTGATTATCTTAAAAGAAACACATTATATTATGTGGTGGGGGCTATACAAATATCATGCATCTCAATAAATCGGTGTATGTTATATATTACACATAACTTATATTTATATATGACATGTACTAGAGTTGGGTTGGCTAAGGGGTCAACCCTAACCCAACCCGAAGTAAAGTCAGGTTCATGAATTTCAACCCTAAACCTAACCCGAACTTCAACCCGACCTGACTCAACCCAACTTTTGTGGGTTGGGTTAGGGCCAACCTAGCCCAAGTTGTAGCCTTACATGTGGGGCGCATATGTGATCTCCAAACCCTATCCCAAATCCCAATCCATTTGAAAGAAAAATCAGTTTTCGAAAGAGTTAGAAAAAATTTTAAAATTTTGTTTAGACATCTAGTATGGTTTAGCCATCCATATGATGAATTCTAAACCCTTCCAATAAGTGATTCCCATTCATTCTTTGTGCTGCATGATGCTTTAGGAAGATTGAGCAAACTTGTTGCAGGTCAAAGCAGGGGTAACTAAATTTGTTCACTTTTTTCTTCATCAGATTTATCGGAACGCCTGAAGATAGGTAATATGTATCTAGTTCAAGACATTCCCGTATTTCTTGTGTTATCCAGATGTATGAGGAGTGACCTTTAATCAGCTCTGTTACATCAACATTCTCTATCCCTTGAAATTCCATACGTTGAATTTCAGTTATCCTTCACTAACAAGACTTGCACAGAAAGCGATTCAAGGGGTCCAATCGTTCTTGGATTAAGCATTCACGAATTTCCACAATTCCAACTGCTTCATTATATTCCATCTCAGCCAAACAGTGGAGACATTTAAAAACTACACGGGTCCCCATTGAAAAAGCTATAAGTGTCACTGGTATATTCCCCTATAATCCTTTTACTAAAACTTCATCAAGCAGTTTTCCTACTTTGTTTGATCTGTCCACTGTGATTGTCCATTTGTTGTCTATGCTGCAAGCAAGGTTGTTCCATGCTGGTGCTGTTATAAGTGAGCTCAATACAGTCATCATGGCACCTCGTTTCATCAATTCCATTGTGATTTTTGAAGTTATCCAATCTTGGATTGTGGTGCTCACTGTAATCAGATTCTTAGACTCCTATTGTAGCGCATACCTCTCCGAGTTGTCCTCTAGTCCCTCCCAAGGCCTTATAAAATATTCATGTTCAAAAACAATTACAGAAGTCAATATGCTAACAGCTAGACATCCTTCACCTTCTTCGAGTTCAAAAGCATCAAATCTGCACTCCTAGCTATACCATCAAAATTTGTTACGAGTTTTTGTTAGTAAGTTGTAACAATGCCTTTTATGTCTTACCCATCAACACGAATTTCACACAAATAACCAAATACGAGCTAGGAATAGTCTCAGAGACCCATTTGTAGTCTCAATAACAAGGGCGCCATAGTAAGCAGGAGCCGATTAAGTACTGTGACGTGTTTCTTGTCTCCAATGAGCTTGCAGACAAGTTTATAGCACTACAAGATGATGTTATTATTACATTTAATAGTAAATTATAATTTTTTTATGGACTTTTTTGCAAAAAAAAAGGCTAAGTTTGGTCAATTGACAATTTTAGTTATGTTTTAGAAATAATAGCACATTGAGTGAGTGGGAGAACACATAAAGTTTTTAGGACAAAATTATCCTTTTGTTAAAAGCAGAATCCACCGAATCCAAAAAGTATTCATGTCTCATTCGTCTTCTTCGAGTTCAAATTTTACTCCATTCATTCAGCTATAAGCATTCTCAAGTTCGAATTCGACTCCATCCATTCAAATTGCGGCTGGTTAGAGGCATCGACTCCAGCCATTCAAACGACTTCAGATTGAAAAGCATCGACTCCAACCATTCAAACGACTTCATCCATTCAAACAGTAGGACAATTGAATAAAGCTCATAATGCTTATCTCTGTGATTAATACCCAAACTACATATCTACTTATATGATCAACAATAATACCAGATTTTGTGCCTAAACTATCTAGTATGGAGCAACCTAGGTGGTGTTTAATAGATTTAGGCACCATACGGCATGGGGAAGACCAGATGGTTTATTATAGAGTTGGAAACCATCCGGCATTACAAACCGAGTGGTTTATTATATAGTTGGAAACCATCTTGCATCACATAGGCTGGATAGTGTTTTACATAATTGGAAACCATCCAACCTTACACAGACCGGATAATGTTTTGCAAAGCTGGAAACCATCCAACATTACACAAACTATATTGTTTATTGCAGTTGTAAATTTCAGCCCCTCATGTGATACAATAGTGTTTACACCCTCTAAATCATCAAAAGCCCAACATTTCATAAGGTAGTATATGATTCTCACAAGTGTATAAACCATCCAACATGGAGAATATATGATGTTTTATTATAAAGTTAGAAACCATCAAATAGTTGGATACCACCCGACATTACACAAACTGAATTATTGTTTGCAATTTTGAAGCATAATTTTTTTAATGTTTTTTGAAACATAAATTATAGTTGCAAACATTTATCCCTCTGTATCATAGTTACACCATCAAAATCATTTAGAACCCACTAAACTTCATTGTTTTGTATGATTCTTATATGTTTACAGACTTAGAAATAATCCATCACTAAATAGACCATATAATTGTTTGCAATTTTGATATATAGATTACAGTTTTGAACATCTATCCCTCTGTAGGTAGCTACACCATCAAAACCATTTAGAACTCAATGAACCTCTTGATTCTATATGATTATCGTATTTATAGACTTAGAAACCAATGAATCACAACAATTACTTGGACAATAAAGTACAAATACAAAGAAATAACAAACAAAAAATAATTAAAAAGAGTTGGAGAAGCAAGAAACAGGAAACAAGAAAAAAAAAAGTAAAGGGAATGGGACCCCGAATCGAGTTTAGAAGAAGAAGCCCCTTCCTGTTAACTCTGAAGTTTACGAGAAGACAAACAATTAAACAATAACTTTGAACTCGAACTTGGAGAATGGGACCCAAAATTGTTCGAACTCGAACTTAAATGGAGAATGAGATCCCAAATCGCTTTGAACTTGAATTTGGATGAATAATGGGACCCAAAATCACTCGAACTTGAACTAAGAGGGATATTGCCTTGAATATGGAGTCTTCCAAGTAGATGGAATTGTCGCTTCCCAATCAAAAGTCGCTTTAATGGATGAAGTCGATGGTTCCAGCCATCCACAATTTGAATGAACGAAGTCGAACTCGAACTTGGAGAAAAACAAAAGGGTAACTTTGTCCTAAAAACTTAATGTTTTCTCCTGCTCACTCAAGTTGCTATTATTTTTAAAACATAACTGAAATTGTCAATTGACCAAACTTGGTCTTTTATGTTTTGCAAAAAGTCCTTTAGGAAATTAAATCATAAATCTAGTGTACTTTTCAAATTTATTATTTATTAGTATACATTTTTCAAAATTACCAAAAAATTTTGTAAAATATGTTAGCAACCTTTTATTACACCAATTGAATCATAAAGGTCTGAACCATATAATAGACACGTTTTTTTATTCATTAACGATAATAGTAATAATGAAAATTTGTGCAAAATTGGAAAATTATTGAAAAATTGTGTAGATTTCATTATAAAATTATTGAATATCATAATTAAATCAGAGTAAATTTAAATTTAATTTTCTTTGAATATGTTATTAAATTAGAATAAATTAATATTCAAAGAATCAACAAAAATCCAACTTCACAAAATTAATTTTTAGGAAATTAAATTAAATTATAAATTCAGTGTACTTTTCAAAATTTATTATTTATTAGTGTACTTTTGGAAAATTTCCTCAAAATGTTGTAAATAGTTGTTGAAATTTATTTTTTGTATTTTCATTGAAAATTATTGCATTTTCAAAAGTTTTCTGAAATTTTGTTATTTTCAGTAAATTATTACATTTTTGATTTTTTGGAAAATCGTATGTTGAAAAATAAAATATAAATTAATGTACTTTTCAAAAATTTGGAAAATTTAATAAAATTTATTAGATTTGTGCAATTATGAAAAATATTGAAAATTTGTTTAATTTTTACAGTAAACAAGTATTGAAAATTTGTTTAATTTTCAATAATCTATTATTTTTTTTGGATGTTGGGTTATCCATGTGACTGACACTTATGTCCTTTTGATCATTTTTAGTTTTTTTATTATGAAATTGGGTATTGAATTTTCTCGCACGGGTCCCGATTAATAATTAAATAAGGATAGAGTAGTTTGGACATTTAGAAAACTTTAAAAAGTGAAATGAGAGTCTTTTCCGAAGTTAACTGACTAACGGAGGGATCTTTGTCTAACGGCCAAAGTTTAGTCCCTTACGTTTCTCATTCCTCAGTCCCTCGTTTCTCCTTTCTTTCCCTATTTTTTTTTTCCTTTTCATCGTATTCCAGGAGTAGAGGGCCTTCAAACATTTGAAGACAACGATGGTGCCGTAATCTAGTTTGAGCAGCTTGATTGAAGACCTTCTTTGCTCCCAATCGAATCGGCATAGCAGTTACAGGCTCTACCGAAGGAGACGTCAACTAGTTTTGCATTTTGCCTCAAGAGCAGGTAAGCCCTCTTACTGATATTGGTGTTCTTCGTCTTCCTAAAGGTCGGCCAGTTTCGATTGAACTTCCCACAACGGATTAGCCTTTCACGTCTGTACTCTCACTTTCCTAAGTAGGCATTCCGATTCCAAGAGAGGTGTGAAGGGGGGGGGGGGCGGGGACCCCAGTACCACTCGCACTCATTGGCTCATTGGACTTCGGTTTGAAGAGGGTAGAGTTCAGGTAGTTGAAATCCCAATCGGTGTCTGGCCAAACTTGCGTCTAAGCATATGAGGGAGTTGGAAGCCCCCTAGCTTACATGGACTGAACAAATTGATGAATCTGAACCTGAACCATCTTTATTTTGTTTGACATTTGTAGATAGCATGTGATAGTTTAATTTCTAGACATTGTCCTTTGCTCTCTATCCCACAACTGTTTTTGTCTTATTTCTGTACAACTATTTTCTGAGTTATTAAACATTACATTTGAATGGGTTTAACGATACAATATGTTCATATGATCTTTTAGGTTCCACTCACGTGTATGTTGCTTTTATGAGACAAGCTTGAGGTGTCATTGCAAGAGGAATGGCAATAATCATTTAAATGAACCTTTGAATTAGAAGTCTTAAAAATGTGTTGTTTTAAGTTGCTGAATATGTTATATTGGAATGGCTTCTAACCATTTATCTTGGTTGCCAGCCAAGTGTTAGTTTAAATCCCTAAGTGGCCCAACAAGTAATTGCTTTACCAAAACAATTCGCGTGGAATGACAGTTAATCCTCCAAAGTATTCTTGATCTGGTGAAATAAATTAAATAGCCCAATGGGAAACTGACAATATCGTTTACATTTTTTGAACTTCTCGTAGATTGCCTACTATCTTATGATTTGCAATGACTCTCAACTTCTAAAATATTCTTGTATGTTTTTTTTTTTTTTTGTTTTTGTTTTGCTTTGTTTTATTTTGTATTGTTTTTCAAATAAATGGACTGCTATCTTGTCTATTCATTTATTTATTCTTGATATCATCTCCCACTTGGACTGTCAATGGCTCTCAAGTGTTATAATAAGTGACTGTTTTTTTTGGGTGCATTTTCCAGATTATCAACACACTACCTTTTCAAATTCCAAAACATTCTTGAATATCTAGATTCTGTATTGCAGTAAATGTTTAAGTCAATGACTAAGTTGTTAACTCTGGGAGCATGAATCATGTGAAAGCAAGGATTTAAACATCGACACGATATGCCTGATATGGGGCGTACCGTATTGGTATCGATTGACAACGGTACTGGATATGCTACGAATAGAAATGTATCTCGTAAGTCATTTGTATCACACCGTTATGGATGCGTATCGGCCTGTATCGTATTGTATCGGTTGATACGCATTGATACAAAGTGATATGCGCGAAATGCCGCGTCTTTCCATACTTCATGAAAAATGCACTTATCACGATTCCCAGGCCATCCGATCGCGCCTATCTTTTGCCACACTCTAAACCATCAAGCCAAGCTTCATCTTGCGATATTAAATAGAATAAAATAAATTTTATTGCTTTTTTGTGTCGACATACAATTTAAACAAAAAACATGTATTTATATTTAACAATTCTAACTATTCCAAACAATAATATTCAAAAACAGTATTTTATAAAGTAATATAAAAAATAATATATCAAGTCCATATTTATATAAAAAGATGATTTTTAATATCAATAAAATTATAGAAATAAAATATTAATAATAAAATAATTATTTTAATATTTAAATTGCACATGATATGCTTAATTTTTTTATATATTTTTACAAATTATTAATTAATATTTTAATTTACATTAATAAGCAATAACAGCATATTTATTATTTATAAAAAAATAAAAATATTGTTTACAAAATATTGAAGAGTATGATATTAGATTAAATCTATCAAAGCCACTAATCTAAATTTATTTCAAAAAATGATTTTTTATTTCAAATTATTTATAGAAATAAAAGTATTAACAATGGAATAATTATTTTAGTAATTAAAAATTATGAATTTGTATAGGATATGTATCTTAGAAATTTTAACAAATTTGGTATACTTTAATTTAATATTATATTTTTGTGAATTATTAATTGGTATTTTAATTTGCATTTAGGAATTTAATATTTAGTTGATTTTTTGTTAATGTTAAAAAATTAAAATAGTAAAATTAAAAAATAACTGATATAATAATTAAATTATAATATGCACATGTGTTTAGTGTCTTGGATTCTTGATTGATGCATTGCAAATAAAATTATATAATATCTAGACATCCGGATATATTGATTGTAATATATTTTTTCATATACACCATTAAAATATACATTTTCTATGTATTTATATACTATTTGTGACTATTTTGGTCTTAAATTTAATATATTTGTGGAATTTGTATGTATTTCCCTAACGTATCCATTTGTTTTTATATTTTTCGCCTGTATCCATGCGTTTCCAAAGCGAATCTGTATCGAAATTCTCTGATACGGTACCGGATACTGATACTTTAATCCTTGCTTGAAAGAATAAGAAATAATTATTTGCCGGATGGCGTGGGGACTGTTAGTGGCTTTCAAGCATTGTTATTGAATGGATATAGTTTTTCCCTCTCATGAAAAAAATTGACTATTACCTTTTTCTTCATTTTTAGTAGTTAATCAAAACATGTTGCTAGCTCATACTCTTGTATATAATGTTTCATCGTAATATGTTTTTTAGTCCCTTGCCCATTTTCATGTTAAAACACGTGCTCCACTAATCAGCCACTTACCCTCTTCATCATTGTGAGAGTGTCATCCACATTGAAAAGAGAGAGAGGTGCCTAGCCCCTTCCTGCTCTCTTCCCCAACTTACCCGGATAATCTTTTCCCGGGCATTGGAGTCATTACAAGTAAAAAAAAAAAAGAAAAAAGAGCTCTTCTTTTCTCCGGCTGGGAGTCCTGTCACTCCCTTCTCTCTTCAATGATGGGTGGTGGTTACAACAATTGTCCATGAAGTGGGCCATCTCCCAATGCCCACAGATTGGTGACTTCACTGGGGAGTAAGTGAGGACTGTGTAGGTGCCACTTTTCTTCCATTTGTTTTCTGTTTTTTTTTTTTTCTTTGGTATATTAATTTCATTAAAAAAAGAAAAAAAAGCTAGGCTGTTTTCCTTTTATTCCAATAATTGGGTATTCGGATTGCTTTCAGATTGAATCTTGATTTTAATTTTTCTATTTAAGTTCCCCTTTGCAAATTTCTGGGTGTGCTTAATTTGGGACAAAGTGGTTTGATCACCATTTAAGTGGATTATTTGAGTCTCATGTATACAACTTGTGGATGAATTCTTTTTAGGACAGAATGTGTAAACTGCATGAAACCATTGGATTAAGTAGGAATCCTGTCATAATAGAACATGTTCCATTGTGCATGCTAAAATGCTGTGCTCTATTTAAGTAACAGTCCTAATGGATCTTAGCTTGGACTTTGGATTTACAAGAATGCCATGTTAATAGTCGAATTTGTTTCCAGCACTGTCTCATGAATCTTTAGCCAAGGTAGTGAAGGCTGCACCTGCACAAATTAATAGTCGAATTTGTTTCCAGCACTGTCTCATGAATTTTTACCCCTTTTTACCCCTTGAAGTCTATTTCCATATTTTGTTTTATTTTTTCAACATAACAAGTTAAGATTGCTTTTCTGCTATTAATAAAGTTTTTGAGAGCTTTACACTATTTCTACTTAGCCTTTCTTTTTAGAATCCCTTTTTTTCCTTTATGCATAATCATTGCATGAATCTAATGGGCTTGGATTTGAACAATAGAATAATATTGTCTCCGTGTGCTGAATTCTCAGTAAAAACGATCTTCTTGACTTAGAACTTATTGTTCTGATCTGATATGCTTGCATTGGACACAGACTCTAGGAGTCTGGTTAATCTCTTTGCTGTGTGGCTGACTTATGCCTTATTGTTGGAAGCCTAGTGACATAGGGACTGGCATAACAGCCCCTAGCAGGATTCTTGGAAGTCTATGGTACAGAAATCAGTCACTTTGTCTTTAATGTTTAGGTTGCAACAGTTGGGGACCTACCTTCCGTGACTGAGGTTATAGGTCAAATTGGATTGGGTTTGATTTTCTAACAGTAGTGCTTGATAAGTTTTGTCATGTCTCTTATGGTGGTTGTGATGATTCTTGCTTGAATGGGTCTTATGTTGAATGATGGCATGGTTCAAAGTATCGATACACTTGTGTATCAGCAGAGGTGTATCGGTACTTAGATACAAGTGGAAATACCTTTTTTTTTTTAGTTTTTTTTTTTCAAAATTTGGTTCTTGGGAAGATATTTAAGCATATTTTTATTAAAAAAGAGTGGGGTCCCGAAACACCTGTAAACAGGTGTATTGGACCCCTAGAGATAAGATACGATACACCCGATACGGGGCGTATTGTATCAAAAATTTGAATCTTGAATGGTGGTTTTAGAGTTGATGGATGATGTGAGGAAGAACTCTCGGGGCTTTTAGGGTATGGGATGGAATAATGGATGCATATATTGAAGTGTTTTTTCTGTGCAGGTCAGTGATTTAAAAGGAGGCGCATTTTAGGGTAGGCGCCTCGCCCAGGTCCTAGGCGCAGCCCATTCAGGCGTGCACCTGGTGCGCCTTGCGCCTTAGCCCAGGCATTCACCTTTTGAAAATTTGCTGCTTTTTTCCCTTTTTTTGAGTCTGGCCGCTGGGCCGGGGGCTCCGCCCCTGGACCCCCGTGCCACGCCCCTCAAGGCCAGCCCAAACAAGTCCATGTTAGGGTCTTAAATTCTTTGATTTCACACAAAAAAATAAAAATTTTATAGTTTTAATTGTTTTTAACTGCATTTTTCTCTAAGCAGTTAAATCAAATCTACCTATTTGATTGGGATCATATCTTAATATACACAAAAATAGTTGTGTACATTGCTTTTAATTGCTTTTAGCTTCACCCAAACAAGTCCATTCATTCATCTTAATAAAATATCTTCTTAAAAGCAATTAAAACTGTAAAATTATTATTTTTTGTGTGAAATCAAAGAATTTAAGACCCTAACATGGACTTGTTTGGGCTGGCCTCGAGGGGCGTGGCACAAAGGCGGCTTGTAGAATTAGGAATGTAATATATCACATTAGCTACTTGATGCATTTGAGAAAAAAATAGAGATTGTGGGTTTTATATGCTTGAAAATGTTTTATATGTTTGATTTCATTTTTAAATTCTCATTTGAATATGCTTTACATATTATATTTATGTATTTTAATTTTAGATAATAGGTTTTTTAAAACATTTATTTTAAAACTTAAGTTAATATTTTTATTAATATTATGTTTTATAATTTTTTGATTTTTTTTGAAATTTTTGCATTTTTTTTTAAATTGTGCGCCTTGCCTCAAAAAGGCGTGCGCCTCGCCTTGTGCTTTTAAAACACTGGTGCAGGTGACCTTCCCCTTGAACCCATCATTATCAGCCCTTCAGACTGCTGTAATTTATAGCAGTAGACCAACCCAGATCCCCTCCAACTACTGCAATTTACTAGCACCAAACCAGTCCCAAAAATTAACCTCTCCAGCTGCTTTAATTTACAGCATATAAGCCAGCCCTAAACCCACTCCCTTCATCCAGCAACTGCAACTTGCAACAGAAAACTAGCACCAAACCACTCCCAAAAACTATCCCCTCTAACCTCTCTAGCTGCTGTAATTTACAGCGTATAAGCCAGCCCTAAACCCACTTCCTTTACCCCATCCAACTGCTGTGGTTTGCAGCAGAAAACCAGCATAAAACCAGTCCCAAATTCACTTCCTTTAACCCATCCAAGTGCAGCAATTTGCAGCAGAAAGCTAGCATAAAACCAGGCCCAAACCCATTTCCTTTGACCCTTCTATCTGCTGTAATTTTACAGCAGGAAACCTGCCCCGAACCCACTCCATGTATCCCATACCAATGCTGCAATTTGTGGCAGAAATTCAGCATAAAACCAGCCCCAAAACCACATCATTTAACCCTTATACCCGCTGTAATTTTTATAGCAGAAGGCCAGCCCTGAACCCATTCCATGTATCCAATACAACTGCTGCAATTTGCAGCAGAAAACCAGCCCCAAAACCACATCTTTTAACCTTTATACCTGCTGTAATTTTTGCAATGGAAAGCCAGCTTGAACCCACTCCATGTATCCCATTCAACTACTGCAATTTTCAGCAGAAAACCAGCCTCAAAACCACATCCTTTAACCTGTTCTATTCAAGTCAATCCAAACCAACCTCCAACTCGGATGTCAAAACTAAACCAGTCCATCTAGATCTACTCAAACTAAATGCCACCATCTAAACCAAATCAACAAACTTTAGACTCACAAGGGCAAAGAAACCTTTCCAAACTGACCCAAGCCTACAAATCACCCTTTTGGTTTTACCATAAAAAAAATCAAGGAATAATCAAAGCTTTTCAACGTCATGTATTTTCATGTTTATTGTAATTCCTTGTGCTTGAAATCAATTAAGATGTGTGTAGTAGTTCTACCGTAAACAACTTTATTGTCATCCCCACAAGCATGGCCACCTAGAAATCAATTGGGATGTGTGTAGTAGTTCTAGGGTTTGAAACTTCGAACATGTGGTCATGTTATACACATTTTTTTTCCTGAACTTACTTGCTTTTGCATGATTGGTCACAATGTCACACACTCATTTACATTAGATCTAGCAACCTGTCATTCAATTAGGTGGAGGCTAGTAGATGTGCAGCCACTAGGACACTTGGGAAACCTTGGTCCTTTTGGCCCAGTTGAAATCTTCAAGCCAATCACCAACCTGAGAAGTTCATTAGTCCATGAATGGAAATTTGAAGGTTGGCAACCGCATCGAAAGCCTGAGTCTAGAGCCAAAAATGATAACCCCATATAGATTGTTCTCAAGTGTAAACTGGGATATTCTTTGTGAGAAATCCTAGATCATAGAGGTAGGACATGAGTGTTGGTTGTTTGCATCAATTTTTCAGTTTTTGCATTCTCTTTCTGTTTCAACGATCACCTTTTATTTTCGGCGGTTCTCCAACGTACCACATCGTTTTGTGGCTTGACTTTGTAATTTGTACAATCTCTTCCATTGTAGTAAGTTATTTGCCATTATCATTTCTATTCGATTGGATTGTCATTGTGTTTTAATTAATTGTTTTCTTGTTGTTTGGGTTGGACTGCATCTTATTGTAGCAATGGCAAATACCCAAGATCGGATGCTTTTCACAAAGGAACCTTATATTGAGGATGTTGGGCCACGGAAGATGTAAGTGTATTCTATTTTAGTGTTCTTTTCTTTTATTTGGTTTGATTAACTTGTTTAAGCTTCAAATGTGTTCAACATGGTAATTTTCCGGTGCTATATTGGCAGAAAAAGCATTAGGTTCTCAATGTTTTCGGGAGATGAAATAAGGAAAGCGGCTGAGGTTCAAGTGTGGCGTAGTGTATACTATGATGTCAACAGAAAGCCTATTGATGATGGATTGCTGGATTCTCGCATGGTTATTTTCTTCTTTGTATTTTTTCATTAAATATAAACTGTCATAGTTATTATTTCTTAGTGTAGATAGTGATATGTGTGGAAATTATTGCTTCTTTATTATAAAAAAAAATCATTGCTTCTTATGGGTCATCCACACTTGTCTTTATCATTCTGTTTTTTGATAAGTAAATGAGTTTTAGTAATCAATAATTGACAACATTAACATTACAAGTAAACAACAGCATAAGTATACTAAATATAAGCATCCCTAAGAGAGGTAAGAGATGTGACCTCTCCCATCATAAAGAAGAAAAATACAATTACATCCTTATCCAGTTGATCCCTATTCACTCCTTGCTTAGTGAGACTATCAGTGAAAGTATTGGTGGTCTTAATCAACTCATTCTATTGACACTCCTGAAATTGTGTGTGTTTTCCTTGTTCGAATTACTAAGTAGACATGGTATCAGAGTAGGTGATTCAATCAGCAGTGGAAGTAGTTTTAATCATTGGTTTAGAAGAGTGTTTCAAGAGGTTTTTATTCTACCTTCAGTTGTTGGTTTGATAGCTCTCTGAAGGCTAGTTTGAACCTTGTGTGTATTGTACTAAAGCTAATTTCTTTATCAAATAAAATTTCCCTTGCTGATAAAAAATGTACCCTAGTTCTTGCTTCCTAATGCCATACTTCTGTTATTTACCTATTACTTCACATTACACTTAACTGTGCATCTTCAATGTACATTGCCTTTTAGCTTATTTTTGGTTATGTTTTCCTTTTGGCGTGCCACTGCATTGAGGAAAGATCCGCTTTTATATTTCAGGGTCCTGCAAGCAAGAGTGGAATATGCACAACATGTGATGGGAGTTTTACAGATTGTCCAGGTCATTTTGGATATTTGAATCTTGCCCTCCCTGTTTTTAATGTTGGATACTTCAGTACTATTCTGGATATTCTGAAGTGTATTTGCAAGGTAATTCTATAGAATGGTTTCAATGGCTTTTGTTAGAGGTACTTTTCATTATTTAGTAGTTGCAAGTTATCACTTTTTTGATTGGCAACAATAAAGTATGAGGTTAAAGATATCATGGCTAATTATTATTTAGTAGTTGCAAGTTATTATTTAGAGGTGCTTTTCATTATTTATATGCAGATACCATGGCTAGTTAATATGAAACAAAAGTTGGCTAAGTGGTTAAAGATGCATCGATTTATCAAAAAAAAATCTGTTTTATCATATGTTTTGTTTGGCATACTTCTATCCATTCAAAAACCATTTGGCATCTGGTGGGAGTTGTTACCATCGATTGGTTTTTCTATATGCCTACTATTATTACTCAATTGTTAAGGTTATTTTGCAGTCTTGTGCTCGAATACTTCTTGAGGAGGAAAAACGTAAAGACTATTTGAAGAAGATGCGAAGTTCCAAGGCAGATGCACTGCAGAAGAATAACTTAATGAAGCAAATAGTAAAAAAGTGTACAACCATGCTGTCTAGCAAGAAAGCCTTAAAGTGCACTCGATGTGGATACATAAATGGTTTGACTTATTTCTTTTTGACTGCATTTGCTTTTTCATAAAGGGGCAGAGGATTTTGCATTTATTGTAGAAGATGTGGAAACATCACAGAGATCAACTAAAAAAATTTATTCTCCTTGTCATATTGAAAAAAAGAGCCTTTTGTAAATTAATTTATGTTTATCGATAAACAAAATATGTTCCTTGTCATGGTAAGCTTGGTATTATTAGTAGATAGTAGTGCAGATTTTAGGATATTTGAAAAATAACCTGATGCATAGCATGTGCTTGGTTAGATCAGTTTGAGGCTCTTTGGAAGCCCAAAAAGAACTAATGGATCTGAAAGGATGGAAGAAATGGCTTGAAAAGCCTCATGGCCTTATTCTCATTTTGTAGGAATTTTACAGGAGAAAAATTGGCAATCGGGTTCCACTTAAGATGCAGTTCTTTTATTGAGGTTGTATGTGTCTTAGACCCTGTTTGATAATTAAGTACTTGTTAAAAGAAGTATTTGTTTTACAAGTACTTCTTAGAAGTACTTATTTTAACAACCCTTTAGACTGTTTGGTAACCCACTTTTTCAAATCACTTATTATGTTTTTAAGTACTTATTGGGGTGGGAATGTTTGGTAAGTTACTTTCCCCACAAGTGCTTATATTTATACAAATGACAATTTTAGCCCTCACTTCACTCATACATATATACAATGCTTTTCACATATAATACTATACTTTTCACATAATAATACTAATACTAATTATTATAATTATAATTATAAGATAAACAAACAAAAACAGACATGGAACAAATATAAACCAACTGAAGCTATACACCGAACTTATGAACCAAACTGGCATTCAAAGAGGAAAAAACGAAAAAACGGAAGGTAAACCATATATGCACAAAAAATCTACTAATCAAAACAGAAACCCTAAAATCCCATTTGAAACCAAGTGAAGTGAACAAGGATAAACTTCGAAATGTTAAATAAAACCAACTTACCGTCTTCTTCCTCGTCATCTTCATCAACGTCTCCCCTCTCTTCGTCATCGACTGCTTCTACATTCCCAACTTCCCTCTTGTCTTCCTCCTCTTCGACCTCCTCTGAAAAAATAAACAAAGAGAGAAATGAGACAAACACGGGAAAAACAAATGAAATGAATCACCATATTTAAAGAAAGCAACAGACGAAAACACTCCGAAGATCTCTACCTTCGTCGTCGGACACGACAGCTCTACCACCCATGTTTTACAAGAGAAAATCAGCCGAAAACCTAACTCTGGCTAATGGAGAGTGCTGAGAACCGATAAGAAAATCTGCGTGAAAACCAAAACAAAGAAAAAATTATATACTAGGGGGTAGAGAGAAAGGGAGAAAGATGGGCGGTTGGAGACAAAGTGGAGGGGCCGAGATAGAGGGGGAGCTGATAAACGGAAGATCGAGGGGAAGAAGATGATGAGCAGTGCTTTTTGGGCACGAGGGTATTTTAGGCATTATAAAAATTTATCAGGGACTGGTTCGTACTATTTTTTTGGAGAAGTACTTCAAGAAGTACTTAAAAAAAGCCAACTTGAAGTCACTTTTTCAAATAAGTACTTCTTCCCCACTTTTTTACCAAACACCCATAAGTACTTAAAAACCACTTAATGTGTGGTCCCATGTCTTAAAAGAAGTACTTGTTAAAAGAAGTACTTTTTTTAAGTGTTCTCAAACAGGGCCTTAGTAATAGGGTTTTTAGTTTTTTCGAAATTTACTCTTATTTTTAAATTACTATTTGCGGAACTTTCAGACTTACTATTTGTGGTAATTCACATAATTACTGTTTATAGTAAAATGTCATTTGCTATGTTTTGTAATTTACAGTTTCTCTATATTCAGTTAGTTTTAGTAGGATTAGTAAAGTATTATTAGAGTTGTTTTAGGAGTCAGAGTCCCCATTTTAAGTGTCCTTATGGGTTTACCTATGGGTTTGCATTTCTTTTATGGTGGTTAGAAGTTGTTTTGGGTTAGAGACATTAGAGTTCTTATGTTTAGTATATAAATTGTGATTGTAATTGCAATTCAGAAGAGTTGATTTTATAAAATATAGTTTGGTTTTGTAAGTTTTAGTTGTTTCCAGGAATTGTTTCTCCTTTTTCTCACCTATTTCTTATTGTAAGTGATCTATCTCTTTGCTGTTTACTTTGATAGCAAAAGTTCTTCTTTTTCTTTTGATCTATTGCTCATTCTTTGGCGGCAACAAATTGTTTACTTGCTTTCAATCTCTATTCTTCATCATTAATCACTTCAATCACCTTTCATCGCACAAAGCTTACTACCAAATCTAAAAATTCTAGGACATAATGCCCCTTACCTGTTCTATGTCATGGCCATTCTTCTTCTTCTCCTCTTCCTCTTCCTCCTTCTTCTACTTTGTGAATTGTGATATCAGTGGTTGCTTGGAATGCCCATGATTTGGAAGCAAGAACTTTTAAAGCAATTTTGTGCTACCCATAAAACACATGGAACTAGTGACAATGTCTGTATCTGCAATGTGCATTGTAGTGGAGGAAGTTTTTAATCGGTCATGTGAAGTTTTTAGTTATTTTGTACTTATCTGACTTGTTGTATTGCAGGTTTTGTTAAAAAAGGAGCCTCTATTTCAGGCACTGGGTCTACATTGGGTATTGTTCATGACCGTTCAAAAGTTAATGACGAGAGTTTGGAGGAATGTAGTTCTGCAATTTCCCACAAAAAGGAGTCAAAGGCATCTTTTCGTGTAGTTCACGTTCTTAACCCTGTTAGAATTCTTGCACTTTTCAAAAGAATGGTGGATGAGGTAGGTCTTAGTAACACTAGATTTTGGGGACCACAGTGCTTTGTTTATACCTTAAATGTTAAAGACTTGTGAATTACTACAGGCCTAATTTTCCTTCCTTTCATATTCATTTATTTTTGCCTTGTGCCACAGGACTGTGAACTGCTTTATCTATATGATAGACCTGAGAAACTCATTATAACAGACATTGCAGTACCACCTATAGCCATCCGTCCCTCTGTTTTTATGGATGCTGGAACAATGAGGTTGGCATGGCATATCTTCATATTTTTTTTTTGATAAATGTTTTTCTTCGTTATGTCAATTATTAAATTACAAATGCACAACATTAATGTTCAAAGATGATATTCTCATATAACATTGAGTGACAGAGTTTCCATTTCCCTCTGTTTGCAGCAATGAAGATGACATTACTTCTAAGTTAAGTGCTATTATCAGGGCAAATGCTCCTCTTCGACAGGACTTACAAGGAGCCAACCCGAAGTCAAAATGCTTGGTACTATTGGGTGTTCTGACCATGTTTCCTCCTTTAACTTATCTTGCTATTGAATTTTGTGGCCTATATAGTAATGTGGACATCTTTTCCTGAAGCAATGTAGAAGAGAGAGTCAAAAGCGGAAGTTTTCTGAGTTTTGCGGTCAAGCCTGATTTTTAGACCTAATCCCAGATAAAAGCCCAAAAATCAAGACTCAATTCCAGCAAAAGCATGTTTTGGATGGGCCCAAGTGGCAGCTCTAATCTTAATTCTGAGCTGCTTTCTTCTCATCCTTTGTTTTACTCTATCTTCCTTGTCTTTGACCTATCTTCCTTCTTCACACCTTGAAACCTCACAAATTCTTCATTGAATCAATATCCTTTGGCTTATCATGGGAAGCTTCCAAAAGACCAGCGACATCAAACTCATGGAGAGAATTAGAGGTTCTCCATCATTGTTGGGTTTGTTTTCCAGTCTCAAGCCTGAATAAAGCAGGGATGTCTCATATTAAGCAGTTATCATTAAGTAATTTTGCCCAACTCTTATGAACATGGATCTTGAATTGTCATTAATGCAGGAGCTAAAGAATGAAATTTGGAATTTTCTGTATTTTCGTATATTTGGACAGTATGGATATTTTTGTCATTTTAACTAGTCCTGTGTGGGGCCTGGGCTATAACATCTTGTTCCTTTAATTTAGTAGGGCTTATCTTTCAATTTTCAGTTTATTTGCATTATTAGATAGAAAGTTATTGTGTTTCTTGATGCACAAGACAAGGAGTGGCATTTTTGTAACCATGGTGAACAATATTCCGGGCCATACAAGTCACTCTGTAAATAGATGTATTCTCTTCCTTTTGAAGCTAATGAATGAATTAATGTTTGCTCAAAAAAAATGAATGAATGAAGATTTCTTTAGAGCTCTCTTGCACATTTGCTGTATGGAGTGGTTCCTACAAACCCTAGAGTGATTCCTTGGGCTTTCTCTCTCTTTTCTGTTCCTCTACCCTTTCTCCTCTCTCTCTCTCTCTGTCTTGTGATAGTTTGTTCCAGCCCTACTGCATCAGTCATTTCAGAATAGAGTTGAATGGCAGAACATGATAGATGCATGTAGTTGACCCCATATGGCTGGGACACGACAATAGGGATATTTTGGTAATTTTATATGTTATGTGCAATTCCAGCCTGAAAGTGTTGGAATTGATCCAGTACATTTTTTTAGTTGACATCAGATTCTAAAATTTCTTGTTTTCACAGTTTTTGTTTTGTTCCAAACCACCTACAAATTTCCCATAGTTGATCACCTCCAATAAATTTCAACCACTTAATGACATTGGACAGCATTGTTTCACAAGATCATATCAAGAGTAGAGGTTTTAATTGGCAAGAAGATGCTATCTTTGCCTTCTAGAGGATGAGAGTGTGTTTCATCTATGTTTTGTTTGCTGCTATGCAGAGATTATTTGGGGTTTCATTTTCTTAGTATTTAAAATGGAAATGTGGAGCCCAAGATCATCAAGTGAAATCTTTGCTGGTTTCTTATTGCAAATGAGTGTGTGGAAGACAGAAAATCTTCTGGGATCCCAGGGGTCCTTGTGAGACTTGATCTAGAGAAGGCGTACAACAAAGTGGATTGGGACTGCATTCTTGATTGCTTAAGGCTAAGAGGCTTTGGGAGAAAATGGATCGGGTGGATTAAGGGTTGTATTGGTTCTCCTTAGTTTTCAGTATTGATAAATGCTGAAGCGAAAGGTTATTTCAAGGCTAGTAGGGGTCTAAGACAAGGTTGCCCTCTTTCCCCATTACTATTCACTTTGGTGATGGATATATTTAACTATCTTTTTGACAAGTCAATTTTTCTCAACTTGGTGAAAAGTTTTGAAGTGGGTAGAGATAAGATTCACATCTCTCACTTACAGTTCGCCGATGACATAATCCTATTCTTGGATGCCTTCACAACCAACATCACAAACACTAAAATGGTAGTCGAATGTTTCGAGCTTCTCACTGGTTTGAGAGTTAATTTTTGCAAAAGTAGTATTATTGCTATTAACTCGGTGGAAGTGGAACTTCGAGAAAATTTCAAATCTTTGTTGGGGTGCAAAGAGGAGAACCTCCCCATTACCTACCTTGGGATGCCTCTTGGAGGGAATTCAAAATCCCTTAACTTCTGGAGACTAGTGATGGAGAAATGCGAGAAGAAACTATCGACTTGGAAAAAGTGTTCTCTCAAAAGGGGGTAGGCTTACTCTCTTAAAGGCCTCATCAGATCTGCCCGTCTACTTTCTTTCTGTCTTCTAGATTCCGACCAAAGTTAGAAATCAGATTAAGAAGCTTCAAAGGAACTTTCTTTGGGAAGGTGGTGGAGATAAGAGAAATCATTTAGTCAGTTGGAAACAAGTATGCAGACCAAAAGAGGGAGGCGGTTTGGGTATTGGGCTGCTTAAAGAGAAAAAATCTTCTCTCCTAGGCAAATGGCTTTGGAGATTTTCGAAAGAACCCAATGCTCTTTGGACAACTGTCATCTCAAATAAATATGGACGAAATACAAATGGGTGGGATTGCAATCTCCATTTGAACAGGATAAAGGCCATAAATCCTTGGAAAGGTATMTGTTCCATTCATACTTCTTTCTTTCCTTTTATAAGGTATAAAGTGGGAAATGGTTCTAAAATTAAATTCTGGAAAGATCTTTGGTGGGGGGAATCTACCCTGGAAGCCTCTTTCTCTAGGCTGTTTAACCTTAACCTAGGTCAAGAAGCCACTATTTCTTCTTGCCTCCCAAACCAAACTGCCAAGAATTCTTTAAACCTCCACCTCAGAAGACCCCTAAGGGACTCGAAGATTTCTGATTTAATAGCCTTAATCCAAACCCTCAAAGATGCCTACATATCTCCCTCTCATTCTGACACCTGAATATGGACCCTTCACCCAAATGGCGAATTCTCTTCTAAGTCTATGTTCAGGGGTTTGATTGTTGATGATCAGCATTCCTCTTTTCCTTACAAGAAAATTTGGTGTAGCCACATCCCTTCAAGGATTTGCTTCTTTGTTTGGGAAGCTTATCTCTAGAAAGTTAATACTTGTGATCTCCTACAGAAAAGCTTTTGGGAAGACGCTCCATTTCTTCTCATGTTTGTATTTTATGTCTCAACGAGGGTGAATCTGCAGATCACATCCTTTTTCTTTTGGATAAAGTAGATCACATCCTTCTTCACTGTAGTTTCACTCAAAGTGTTATGGTCCCACTTCTTGAATATGGCAGGTTATAGCTGGGCTTTTCCAAAACACATTATGGACATATTCAATCAATGGCAAGGAACAGGGCTAAGCAAAAGGGGTAAAGTCTTTTGGCAATCAGTGCTACATGCAGTGTTATGGGGTGCTTGAGACGAAAGAAACAACCACATCTTTGACAATAAAAGCAGAACCTTGGAGGAATTAATCTCAGATATTACCTACATTTGCATCCTTTGGAAGGTGAATTCAGCTCTGTTCAAAGGACTTTCAGTCAATGATCTTATCAGAGATATTTCACCCCTTTCTGTTTCTCCCTCATCCCCAGCAAACATCCTTGAGGCATCCCGTACCCATCAGTGAAGGAGTGATTACCCTTAATTTTGACGGTTGTGCATTAGGTAATCCTGGCTTTGCTGGTATTGGAGGTACAGTAAGGGACGAAAGGGGCAACATTTGCTGGACTTTTAGTGGTCCAATCGGCTGGGCTGACTCCACAAAGGCTGAAGTGATGGCTGCTCTCACCGGAATCAGGATAATAAAGAATTTGGGAATTCAGAATTTGATCAATGCAGGTGATTCAGCAAATACGATAAAGCGGTTAAGAGACAAAGAGGGGGGCCCTTGGAGACTGAATCGTTATCTGACTGAAGCTTGGGATTCTTTGGATGGTTTGAATGTTAATTTAGTTTGGATTCCTAGGGAACACAATCGTACTGCCGATGGCCTAGCTAAATTTGGTGTGTATTTGGAGCTTTCATATAGCGACAATCTTCCTCCTTTGTAACTTGTAGGGGTTCTTCCCCTGCTTTGTATATCTCCCCTTGATCCCCCCCTTTTTTCTTAATAAATTCTGGTTAGATTTTCTCAAAAATCTTTGCTTCTTTGCCAGATTTAAATGGAAATAGAAAAGCAAAGACAATGTGGAGCTATGTGCCTTTTTCAGTTTGCTAGGAGTTATGGAAAATTAATGCGTGAGTAAGACAAATAATCTAAACCAAGGCTTAACCACTAGTATGAAGAAATTTTATGCTCTGGTGGATTCCTTTGAGCTACAATAACATCCCTTGTTGCAAGTTGATTACACGTGGTCAAATTTCCAGGGAAACCCTATTTGTTCAAAATTGGATAGGTTTCTTTTTTTGGTTGACTGGGGAAACTTGGTCTCTAGAGCACTTCCTAGAGTAATTTCTGACCATTGCCCTATTAGCTTAAGAGGAAAGCTGCTATTGGAGGTCCTGCTCCATTCAAATTTGAAAACATGTGGCTGGAGGTTTCCTTTGTGGAAAAGGTAAAGATGTGTTGGGTAGAGGGCACAGTTGATGCTGGGAGAAAGGGAGTGTAGTTCACCAAGAAATTGAAGAGTTGAAGTAGAGGATCAAAGTTTGGAATAAATAGGAATTTGGGTGGTTAGTGGAGTCTAAGGAGAGGATTTTAAAAAGGATTGAGGAGTTGGACAAAAAAGAGGCTCAGAGAGACTTTAGTAAGCATGGTATGGAATGCCTCAGCCTCCAGCAGCTAATAGAATAAAACTGAATTTTGATGGGGAATCTGAGATTGGAAGGCACAAGAAGTGTATTTAGAGAGTCCTCAGGTAAGGCGATGCAATGTACTCAGGACCAAGTGGATGTGAAGATTTGATTAGAGCAAAATTAATGGCACTGCTTCAAGGTTTAAGATTGGCAAAAGAGTTTGGATTTCAGCACCTGGAAGCAGAATGAGACTTGAAACTAGTTAACTTGGCACCTTGGATCTACAGACATGCACTCAGGGAGATAGAATAC